TTGACCTGCTGGAAGAGTCTTTCAGACATTTGCTTGACATATTAAACGGAGGCAATCTAAATACAATGACCAAGTTGCACCTTGTTTTTTTTAAACAATGAAAAGGAAAGCACACATAACAGGTGTATGGCATTTATTCTACAAAGATAGATGCAACCTGGAAATATTTGACAGTGTTTGCTGGTTTGCAGGAAACCCTTGTGCTTAATAAGTTTAAATTCAATAGGTTTTGCAGCAAGCAAAAACATACTGGTCCCCACAGGACACCCTTTTCAAGTGGGCAGAATAAACAAACCCAACACAGTTAAACAGTTGACATTTAATGGCATCTGCTACAGAATGGAATGCATTAGAAATTCGCAGATAAACATTCCCAAAAAAGTCATTTTTTCTTAAAATAATGCATGACACAGTAACTTGCATTAATATAAAAAAATCCAGGTCTTTTTTTTGTTTTATGCACGGTTGCTGTTTTGCCCTGTTTTTTTTTATTTCACTATCTTTAAATAGAGCGGTATAATGCCCTGACTATGATGGTAGATAGAATATTCATATATATTATATGTACCTGAATATATATTATATATATTATATCATATTCATAATTGCAGTAGGAGAAGTTCTTTTTCTAACTCACAACACTGAAAAAAGCCTCCCCTGTCAGGATTCTAACATTTTAGCATTTACATTTTAAAACGTATAAAGCAGGTGAAATTTATTAATAGCACTGTAAATCTAGGAAAAGAATGCAGCATAAAGCCTGAGCTGCAAATAAAAGCAAAAAAGAGCCAGAAGAAAAGAAAGCTCTCCGTTTTTTGCAGTCTGTAAGCATCAGGGGCTTCAATCTGCTGCTTCCATTATTTCACACAATAAGCCTGTTTATCTAATTAACTGATAATGAGTTGCCTGATTTGGATTGTTTACTTACTGTATTTGTTTAAATAAGACCTTCATTGGAGTGAATTAAGCTTTTCTTGATAAGCTGCCATGCAAGCACTGCTCTTGTTGCTGTGTGTTTGCTATAGCCCCGGTGCATTCCGTATGTGTGCGGCCGAGGCCTTTCAGAGCTGAAAATTGTGCTCGGTGAAAGACACAGAAGGCTAATTGATACTGCCCAGCTCTGCTGTTTATTAGAAAGAGACAGAGGAGAGGAAACCCCAATGCCCATTCTGAGTGATTAGCGAGGTGAGTTGTTGACTAAATACAGAAGTGTGTTATTTTGTTAACATGGTGCTGTTTGTCTCTGGAATATGTTACTGAAAGAAGAGGAGATGAGGGCTCAGCATCTCAGATAATCTTTGCAATCTTTCCCCCCTCACAATACTTCTTATTTAAGAATTTGCTTTTTATCCATTTATTCATTAAAGCTTTTAAAACCGATCAACCTTGATGCGCTGTAGTTTAAACACAAGAACTACGGCATAGTTTTCTGTGAAATTTCTTACTCCCTGGGGTTTCTTTAAATTTTCTTCTTCTGTGTAAACTAAGTTTCAGCAAAATTGAGAGAATGAAGAATCACATTTTTTTTGTTCAATTCTTCTGTTTCTAATGAGAGCAATGTGAATATGTTCTGTTTCATTGGTTTTGTGGAGTAGTATGTATTTCATAGACGAAAACGCTTTAATGTGCTGTTTCTCCAAAAAGGATATGCTTCAGTACATACCTAGCACATGGAATGATGAAAACAGTATGCATGGGCTCTCCTATCCTATGGTCCTCGTTATTCTTTTGAATTTTATTTGAAATTGAAGTTTGGCATTTAATAAGATCCAAAATACTTGGAATGAAGCATTGTTCTTTAAATTTTAAAGCAGCTTTTCTGTTTACAACAGTGCAACTCTGGCTTTATGTTTTGGGCTTTTCATTTTATAACGAAGCAGAAAAAAAAAGCCTTTTTCATTTTTTCAATGAATGACTGCGGTAGGGAGAATGTGATAAAATGTGTACCTTAAATCTTGTTTGATGGGCTCTCAAAGTGAGCTTGCCTTCTGGAAATAATTTTGAGGGTTGAAGAGCACAGTATTAACAGATTTAATGTAGCTATTCAGTGGATTGCTGGAGCACTATGTCAGATTTAACAAAATGAGGGAGACAAATTGTACATCAACAAACCACACATCTGTGAAGAATTACACTTTTAATTAAAGAGAAGTGAAAATCGAAAACTGTCATTTTATCATTCATTGTGTGATTTATTTAAAATTGAATTGAATTATCTGTTGAGGGAACTATTTACTAATTACCATTGAATGCTTCCAAAGATCATTTAAATTTATCATTATGCTGCACTCATAAAAAAAAATATTTTATGAACTATGTCATCCAAATCAAAGTCTTATTTTTATTAGTTTATGCTATTTAAGAGGAAATGGTTCAATTATAACCATATGAATAAATGTAAATTTGTGTTGATGCAATTTGTGTTGTTGTAGTTTTTTTTCAAGAGAATTAATCATTTTCTACAACTTTGTTTAGCTAGATGACAGAGATAATAATGACATCTTTTTTAACAAACGTAATTTTGTCTACAGTATATTATCTGTTGCGTTTTGACTGTAACTTGTTTTGCCCCTTAAAAATAATTGTCATAGCAGTATTCATGGTTAATTCTGATACGCAGATAAAAAGAAACAAGTGAAGTGTAGCATTTTGTAAACTGTGACTAATTCCACTCACATCTGTGTCCAATTGTTGTCTGCATCTACATTCTTTGTGAGTAGATTTATTTTTCCTGGGCCACCATGTGGATTCAGCTGACCAGCTTAAGTGAGGATTAGTTGTTTTAAAGTTATTTTGATTAAAGCGTTGTTTTTTAAACCTAGTAACACACAACACATGGTTTGCATAATCTATAAAACTCAAAGGAATACGTTCTCTATGGCCTATAAAATTAAAAGCCTGTAAAACTGGAGTAAAGGAATTGAGAGAGGATGCCAGTGGACAGTACATTATAGTAAATTTTCTTTTTAAGCTATATTCTATAAGCTTTCCTTGATAAATTATTCTGGATATACTATTAAAGAGAGGTGTTTTCCTGATGTTAAAATTGTGTAACTACCTGTATTATAGATAACTAACCTTTGTTTTGCTTCTAATGCACAAGGTAAAAAAAAGCTACTGTAAGCCTTGTCTACATTTTAATTATTTTTCCAGTGCTTTTTGAATACTTTATTACACAAAGGACTCAGTTAATTGCTACTGTGAAAAAAAAGCATGTGGCTTTTCAGCTTTGGCAAGTCTTAGGGTTTTTGCAGTTTAGAAATGATTAGAAAAACGACCACTGTACAGGTGAATAAATGGTTTGGCGTGCAGAGTAAAGGCATGTTACTCTACCAGCATACTGGAGATCATGAATGTTAAAAGCCTTATGATATTTGCTAATGGAAATGCGCAGGTCTTAAAACAAGTAAAGCGAAGCGGTGAGCAAACAGAGAGAAGTGAAGAGTGTTTGGCTTTTTTTTGATGACACTTAGAATGCTCTATCGTGCTTGGCTTTGTTCTGCGATCATCAAAGAGAAGTCAGTTCAGGTTGAATTGAAATGCACATCAAAGATGCTGAATACAGACTTTTAAACAATAAATATTAAGCTGTGCAGGAGAAGGGCTCGTTTTTGCTTTCAAGCCTCTCTTCACCTGGTCCACATCACCTGCTGGCAGTGCGCATTGGTTGCAGTGGAACGAAGGGCATCGCTACTAAGCTCAGTTCATAGCCTTTCACTGCTGAGCACAGCAGAGAATGCAGATGACTCATTAAACCTGCATATAGTGCATTCCCTGTGCCATGATGTTTTGTTTCCTGCTGTTAAAATATATATATTTTTAATTGCATATTTGTTGCATTTGGCCTGGCGTTTTCATCCGAAAGCCAAAATGCCAAGGAGCAGGAGGCTGTTATGATATGAAAATCACCTGATCTCAGCAAAACTAACCATAATATGGCATAATAACTATCTTAAAATGGCCGAATGGGAGGAAAAGGAAAAGAAAGGTAGTGTTTAAACCCGGGACCATATTCAGAAAAACTTTACCATGGTACACAGTGTACTACTGTTTTTTTTAATAAAAGATTTTAGATAATAACAATTATAATGAACGGAAGAGCCATATGATTTACTTCTTCTGCTGAATTTGACATCTTTCAGTCAGGAATTCTTTCTGTGTGGAATTTGATATTACTTCACGTCTGGCTAATTTAATGTGCCGGAGACTGTTTTACAACATACAGAAAAAGAAAACTACTGTACCCAAAATTGACAAATGTGAATTGCAAAAATGATAACATTTTTTTTTTAAACCCTGTGGTTCAGCAATTTCTTGCACCACAGTCCTCCGTTTTTCTTTTGTTGTTGTAGTGAACATCTACTATATATATTTTTTTTGGGGGGGACTACCTTTTGAAAAATTGCTATCTCAATTCCAGTGGCCCCAAAAAAAAAAATGATCCCATTCCCTTCGCACTGTCCTCCTGCAGACCCGAACTGAGACAGGTCTGTGGGAGCAAGCCGTGGTGACCATTAGAAACTGTCAGTGTTCGGAGAGAGGGAGTGGAGATATATTTCAGATAGTGTCAATTGCAGATGAAAGATCGCTGAAGATGCTAGGGGTGTTCTGCTTGAGTTGCTTTTGTTCAACAAGTTCATTTTCCAGCAGCTACCTTTTCCAGGCATCCCTTCCTGCTTACCTTGGCTAAGCTGCTTTGCATGTTGATTGGGGGAGGGTTAATCCAGTTTGCAGCTGTCGTAGGCCAATGATGAATCACCTTCCCGTCATTTGGCTGCTTTCCCCTGACTTGGGGAGGAGGAAAGACCTGAAGAAGGAAACAGCAGTAGAGGGTTTAACCTAGAGACAATGTGCCTCTGTGTTCCAGGGTCTCCCCTGTTCCTATTCTGTTAGAGAGTAATAATAATGTTTTCTCAGACAATGTCTATTGTGGCATGGATGGACCTGGACAGTGACACCAAGCTAAAATAACAAGGAGTTATATTGTTTCTACTTGGCAGGTGAAAAAAAAGATACAGTGATTCAGATGCTTCTGATCCATCCAGTTCCAGGTAAGAACACTGCTGGTATTATGCCAATGGCACTATTAAGCAGGAAGCATTGTTGATCGAAGTACATAGTGAACTCTAAAACCTAATGAACTGCATTTACCGGCAAAGTATACGTGAACTGAAAAACGTGTTCTTCTTTTGGGTTGCAGAAAAAATACAAATCCGCTGTAGTAAATCTATTAGCAAGCAGTTTCCTTCTGCAAAAAAGTTAAATTACTAATTCAGAACTGTATTTGGTATATAATGTTTTGTATAAAGTAAGACAAAAATGAGTTAATTCAAGCACCATTGGGGATAGAAACAGAAGACCTCAAACTGGTCTCAGAGCTGTAAGGAGAATAGAAATAAGGGAATGCTTTCAAAATGTTTCGCTAAATTGACTCGCAAGAAGCAAGATTTTGATCTGCACTGCAAAAGTCAGCAGTCTAAATATGAGAGAATGATGACTTTCAGAGTTTTTAAAGCTAACCGTAGATAATAAAAATGTTTTGAAATCTGATATTCCAGATTAACTCGGGAACTTTCAGCTGATGTTATCTTTGCAATCAAAATACAGCAAAAATAGCTTTGCCATTCATTTCTCGTCTGATTAGAATGTGTGTGTTCACAAGAAAATCTATAACGTTTGGTTTGCTTTTTAAAAACACTTTCTTTAATTGGTAACAGAGACCTACACATTTTGCAATCTAATTGAAATTACTGGTACAGAAATACATACAACTATATTTCCCTCTTATTTCATTAGCGCAATTATGCGTGGAGATCATTAACAAAGACAAATGTGTGTTTGAGTTGGTGGATATGCCTTCAGTGTGTGCTGGCCTGATCCCTTTTCAATTTGACATGCATAATATAATGCAGAATACACACAAATGAGAAGATAAAATGTTTCCAATGGCCTGAGCTTCAATAGAAAGAGAAAAAAACAATTACCTAGTTTGCCAGAGCAAACAAGTGTGTTAGACATTGCTTATTCCCAGTTACTGAAGCATGGCCTCTTGCATTAACTTGAAGCAGAGGGTTTTATACAAGTGCACTGCAAATAGTATGAGTGCATTGTAAATCTGCGCTGTGAAGTTTTAATGCAAAAAAGAAATATATTATTGAGCTGTTTTCTCAAAATAATTTGCTTGTGAAATTAAAAAAAATGGTCCTCTGTAGTGTCTTGGATCATTCAGATTTGGAGGTTACAATTTGACAGCAAAGTCTTGATGTCTTCTTCTTTACATTTTGCAATGTACTATCTACATGTTCCTCAATCTACTAAATGAAATATTACTCCTTTCAGGCCTATAGATTTACTTTTAAATGTAGAGTAGATTGTTAAAGAGCCTGGAAGTTCTCCAGACCCAAAGGGTTTTAAAGTATGTTATTTTTGCATCCTGTTTGGAATGATTTAGTGCGTTTTTTGCAGGTGGTTTAAGTTTAATTTTGTACCATTTTGGTGAATTCTACATGTTTTCCCTCAAACCCGACAGGTCTTAAATTTGTGTGTGACTACGAATATATGTTGTGAAATACTAGTGCTACACGCTGTTCTTGTTACTCAGTGAATGCTCAATACTAAGACAATAAACCTTCGAAAATGACACTACATTATTAACCTTTAGCTGCAACAAAAACAAATATATAAAAGAGTATTTGCTATCAGGCCCATCATTTGTTTTAAACCCACGCTGTTATTTTTTCATGTGACCCATTAATCATTTTAAACAAGAGAGTAAAAATAGCTGTGCTTTGCATCAGGTCTATGGAAATGCAGGATCTAGCCAGTCCACACAGTCGAGTAAGTGGAAGCAGTGAATCTCCTAATGGTCCAAAACTTGACAACTCGCATATCAATAACAATTCCATGACACCAAATGGCACAGAAGGTAGGTTTCTGAGATTTCTGTTTCTTCTGTTCTTTATGAATTGAGATATGTGCGTGACAGTGTACAATACAATACAATGCTACTGGTTCTTACTTTTATTCTTTAAATACTGCCTATGTTTTGTGATATGTATTACTGAATCACAGATATACTTGATTTTCAGTATCTTAATATTTTCAAATTGCTCGCCTTATCTAAGCCCTTTATATTAAGAGAATGTATTGTCCTTGCAAATTATTCGTGATCATAAATTAATTGCAAAAAAGACAACTCGGGCAGCAAGCCCGCCGGTTCAAAGGCAGTTTCATTTTGTTGTTTTTGCAGCTTTGTTGCTGTTTTTATTGTCCATTGAGTTTCACAAGCATTGGAAACAAACACCAGTTAAAAGTTTGCACTAGCTTTATAAAAGCTAACCGACTATTATTTTGAATACAGAGAATCACATCAGCTGAAGCAGACTGTTGTTTGCATAAATCTAGTAACGCAGTTCCTGATTTGCAGAGGTGATGAAGAGTTCATGAACGCTGGGGCCCTTCCACTTTTAGGTCTGAACAAGGGGGAAGACAAAATAGAAAATTTATACCAAAAAATTCCCTCCAGGAAAAGGAGAAGAAAGTGAATGTGGCTCTTGTGAATGATTTGGATGAATAATAGCTAATGTGTGTCAGAAATGTAAATGAAATGGGTGGGACTGTGAGGTGACAGTCATCCCTGCTGCCTTACAGCTTTTGGATTTTAAACCAGAGCACCTGTGTGGAGTTTGCATGGCCTCCCTGCGCCTATAGCATTTTTCTCCTATTTAGAATCAGCAAAGACATGGTGACTAGATTAGTGGCTCTGAATTGTCCTGGTGTATGACCCTACTATGGATTGGTATCCCATCTAGGGTGTAGTCCTGCCTTGCACTCTGTTCCTCTAGGATAGGCTACACAACCCTGACCCTCACTAGAGGTAAGCAGCTTTCCAAAAGTGGATAGATAAGTTGTTGTTTTTTTAGAAACTGCGATGAATGTAGGTATGTTTATCTGAAAAGCAGTGGTGTAGATTGTCATGTGTCCTTTGCAATCTTCTTTTCCCATAGGTGATAACATCACAATGCTTACCACTGCTGACTGGTTGTTAAGTTCTAGTACACAGACCACAGCAGGTTTGTGCAGTTCTGTGCAGAAATGAAAGGGCAATGCCTGGCTGTATTGAATTAATGATTGATATTTTTTATTGCAATTTTGCAATAGCCACAGTCACATTAAGCACCATTTCAAAATCTGATGATCCTGTAGGCTTACAATTGCATTCATATGACACTTATTTAGCTTTTGCTATCACAGATTTTTATGTTGATGCGAGAAAAGGCTCCGAAAAAATGTAAACATTACATTTCTAAATTTCAAGTTATATTTTAAATGAAATCTTAAAACATGTGCTACTGTTTCTACCTCAATATTGTAGTCTGATACATTTTTTGTATTGATCATATAATTACAAATAATATGATCAATTCATTTCAGCACTCTGTGTCTCTGAAAGCATGAGTATTGACTTGTACCACGTATTGCACCTTTCATTTTCAGGAGTTCAGTTTGGAACTGACTGCTGTGTGATGTTAAATATATTTAAAGCATGGTTTGAAATGTGCTGGCAGAATGATGTTCATTTGCTCAAGAATGAATGAAGTCGGAGTAAAACAGTGCACTTTTAGGTTACATTTGAAGCACTGTTTTCTCTTGTAGACACAGTTGGATGATGTGGTATTGAAATCGATATTTTATATGCAGATATTTCATGCATGCAGTGTAACGCAACATTCCTGAATATTCAGAGAGGCATGTTGATGTATATTTCAACATACTCACATCAACATGTGTTCCTCTGCGGAATGAGCATAGTAGAAACATGTTAAACATGACAGTGAATAACTCTTTTACCATGAGGGATTTAAATGGGCATGACTCCATACCCACATTTTGAATCTGCTTTCAGATTAGTCTTTCAAAAAATTCCCCTCCTGAGGTGAAATGGATTTATTTCAAAGATTTCCTGGTTATCTCAGACAGCTGCAAACTTGTCTGAGTACTTTCATTATTTTAGATTAAACAACAAGGGCACAGTACAAAAAAAAATGTAGTGTATCTCACTTTACAGACAGCAGTCAGGTACTGTACATTGTTACGATGTGGGTAAGCTAAAGAAATACACACAATGCACAAAATAACAAATGACCTCTGACCATTGATACTGTACTTTTATTTTCATTTATTTTTGTGAAACCCACAGCAATGCATCAAATTAATAATGTCAGTGTTAGAGAATCAAAGGAAAGGTTGTTTGCAGGATGCCTGTAGTGGAGAATGATGAGGAATAAAGGAGATCCTTTCAGAGTTTTAATAGCATTTAACGAATTATGCTTCAGTGTGGCACCTGACATATTTCAGTATTTGCAGGTGAAGCCCTTTAGGAATGTGTTACTGATACTCCTTAGAGACATTTGTTTTAAGAGTGTATGTGAATCACATTTGATAGGGTGATTTCACTGTAGAAAAATGGACACATGGTCTTAAATTGCAAGAAAAAAGGCATGCTGACTGAGCACAGCGCCATCTCACACCACAATGGTAAACTGTTCTTAATTATACTGTACATACACTTTAGAGATAGACAGATCTATTGCCATTGTCATTTTATTCAGACTTTCCAAGTTATGAATTCTTGCTGCTTCTGAATGAATGTCATCAACAGATTGCGCAAACCAATTAAATGTGCAATGCACACAACATATAAATGGAATAATATGCTAGGACCCCTCTGCCGTGAAAGTATTTGTGTTTGTTTTAATTGCATATGTTTGTTAGTGCACCTAAAAGAGAGGAGATTGGAACTGCTTGGCAAATAATTACGTGCTTTAGACCTTCATAGACTGTGTGGCAGTGGATCCTATGCTGGAATAATATTTCTTTTTCTCTTTGCAGTTAAAACAGAGCCAATGAGTAGCAGCGAAATCATCACTTCTGCAGCAGACGGGTCTCTAGACAGTTTCTCAGGAACAGGTAAGGGAGGGTTTCGGCCTGCTATGGTCATGGAGAGCAACAGAGACTCACGCATCCCAAAACCACATTGTATAAAGGTCCCAGGAAGTTTGCTTCACTAGATTGTAATAGCAAAGGGAAAAAGCATCAGCTAAGCAACCAAATTATAATGTTACAACCCTTGGAATTAATAAAGGCCTGTTCAATTTGTACATAGTGACTGCCTCTTGCATTGTATCAGCAAATGATGGACCTGGCTTTTGTTCAACTGAACATCATCTTATGGCAAGTTTATTTTTTTATCACTTAGAAACTCGGGAAGGTATTGGCCAGTACTGTTGAGAAATACTGTGGAACTTGCAAGGCAGAATATTCAGAAGCTTCTCTTTGAGATACAAGCCTGTCTTTAAATCTCTAAAGTCTCTATGAGTGCCATCAGTACGCTGACAAGGGATCGAGGATTTGGAAAACCACAAATGACCCAAGAATGATTCCCCATTTGCTAAAGACAAAAACATTTTTCGATGCGAGTGAAGATTTTTAGTTTGTTGGAATTTTTGCTTGCTTAATGTGGCTTAATGTAATATTAGTGTTGTACAATAGGTTGTACAGTATGTTGTAAGAATTGGTGGGTTTATTGGAATCCTATTAGGAACTTCACAAAGGGGTGTCTTTGACATATCCCAAGTGTTAAACCCTGATAAATACTTTTTCCCCCAACTGAAACAATTATCACAGTTCTTTGTGACTCATGGTTTATGAGACCAGTAGTAAAAAGAACATTAGAAGAAATAACAGACCGCTTCTGCAAAATGTTTGATTGAGAAAGGGTGATGGTCTTCCATATGTCATATATTGTTTCATACAAATGCCGATTTAAAAATGGTAAGAAATAAACGAACTTTTGCAGAAAGCTGAAAAAAAAAACACATTCACATGACCATTCAAATATTTCTCTCGGCATCTCTGACTAGTGCGACGTAAAACTGCAAAAGGCCATGCTTGACATATTTTAAAAAACTGTTTCAGAAATTAAACCATCCATGCCGGTTTTTCTGTTGCATTTCACTTATTTTATTACCACAAATGATTAACTGTGGCCTTCACTGGGATACTAATCCATGCTACTGTACGACACTGAGCTTCAGCAAAGTTAAAGAGAAAAAGCTATGCCATCAAATGCTTGCTGATGGTCAATTAATAATACACATATTAAATGTACTTCAGGGTAAGCAGTGTACAGTATTCACCCAGGGGAATAAAACCTTTTTCTTTTTAGACTGCATGAATTGTTAATAGACTAGTAATGATTTTATCACATATCTACAAAAGGAAATTTTAACCCAATACATATCGCTAGTTGTTAGAGTTTCTAATACTGTGTTTTTAAATTACAGCTTATTTTCTTTATTATTTCCATTTAAACAATGTAGGATATCTCTCAGGGTAACTACGACACTAATAAGTTAATGATGTTGTCATGTCTTTTTTATTTTCTACAAAAAGTCTTTGATGTGTTTCTTCTTTACATTTGGATTACAATAAATACATTGCCTATTGCCTTTCTGGGTAGCAGAAATAATATGTGATCTGTTTCAATAGAATTTTCATTACTTAAACTGTTTAAAGTTTTTTCTGATGGCTTTACTTTCCTGTCACAATATCCTTTTGTTTTTTCTTTTTAAAGTGTTCTTCTAGAAATTAAAACGGCTGTGGGTTTAGAGCAAAAAGACCTCAAATATATTTTTTAGTTATTTAGTTGTCAATGCAATTATGTTTTCAGTTACAGTACATGTAATGAAATCAACACAGTTGTGCAATCAGAGCGGATTAAGGCACATAAAACTTCTTTTCACAAGAAATTAATCTCAGTGTTGCTCCCAAACACCTAATGTTGTGATACTTCATGAAAAAAGAGTGAATTTATTGGATAACTTTTTTTTGTTCATTTATTAAATAAAGGACCAGAACATACCAAAAAGGACTGCATAACCTCTAAATAACTTAAGGAGAAAAAATGAAAAATACATTATTAATATTTTAAAAAGAAAAGGGGGAATATTTTATGATGATTTCCAAAGATATAAAAAATTTCATAGTATTTATTTTAATTTACAGTAATAACTAATTCCAGTGACTGTAAATATAATATTAAACATACTGTTAAGGTTCATTTTAGTTGTAAAAACTGAAGAATTTTCAGTAACCTTTTTATAACATGAATTGTCTTCAAAGTAGGCTTTTGAAATATTACATGATCTTTTTTAATTTTATTTCTTCTTTTTATTCAAGTTGCAAAAAGCAAGAATTTCTTCTCAGTTCTTTGATAAAAGAGCATTTTGCGGTCTGATCGTATCTGCCTTTTCTGTTTTAATTTAAAGTGGATATTGCAGCATGTTATTACAGAAAGGAGTCAAAGACACTTTGTGTTTCATGCTGTAGAATTTGTTATCTGAAGAGGTTATCTTTAATTACTGATGTCACTTTTTTAGCAGTGCTGCTTTAGATGTCCACAGCGAACGTAGTATCTCATTCTACTGTATAATGAGTCTTTCTCACTGAATTTACTCATTGTGTTTCCATGAAGGGTTTCTATGGCAGTTATAAGTATTCCAGAAGAGTATGTTTGTTAGTTACAAAGTCAGCAGAAACATGAAAGCATTACCTGATTATTTTATTTCATTACCACACTTCATTTTTAACCCAAACGAAGGTTACAGAAATAAATAGAGTAGCGCAACATAATTACTGTTTCCTTGGAATCCAGAAGTTCTGTTGGCAAAAAATAATATTTACCTTATTTTTTAACGTTTAAATATGTGCTTGCTTTTTTTTAAACTCTCTTCAGCTATTGGAACCAGTGGCTTCAGCCCAAGACAAACTCACCAGTTCTCCCCACAGATCTATCCTTCCAAGTAAGGCTTCTTTTATTTTTCTTTGAAAAAATAAGCATCATCCAACTTAATTTAGGGCCCTAATTAGATCCTTCTGTTATATCTGGATTTTCAACTGGCTTTGTTTGTATGGATGTCTGCGACTCACATATTCCAAAATCTGTTGTAATTATTATCTTGCAAAAAATTTCCTCTGCGATTTATTATTCTTTCGCAGTATGTACTAGAGCCGGGATTGCTATCTTTTTTAATTCAGCTGAGCGTTTATAATCAAGTAGCAGAAGTACAGTAAATTTGTCAGTTAGCAAACATACTGTAGCAGCATGGTTTTGCTCTAATTCATGGCCTTTGTTTTTCTCTGTCGTTTCTGAAAAATAGCAGACCGTATCCACATATTCTTCCTACCCCTTCATCACAAACTATGGCTGCATATGGGCAGACGCAGTACACCACAGGAATGCAACCAACAACGGCTTATACTACCTATCCTCAGCCAGGGCAGCCTTATGGAATTCCAGCTTATGGTAATTATAAAGCAAAAGGAAGATAATCGTCATGTTTAAGATTCACACTAATAATGCTGGTAACCATATATCAGATATTGGCATATATGCATTTTACATGAGAAGATAATGGCTTCTGACTTTTGGCAAAGGTTCTTGAGCTCCTATAGTTACAGTAGGTGTCGAAGGCTTGTTGTTTAAAGAATAAAATGCTGAATTAAAAAAAAATGCCATTTGACTGCCGTACACAGAGTGATCTGGGTGTTCTTTGCTGAAAATGAGACCACCTTCCCAATAAATCATTACAGATGGGGAAAAAGGAAAAGAAAAGGGTCTAATTTTTATCAGTGATCTGTTTGCTGAAACTGTGAGCTGTGCCAAACAAAACAGACCAGACCTGAAATTCTCAAATTGTTAAAGTAGGTTCAGGCCTGTCTTGGAAAAGAGACGTCAGTGGAATTGCCTCATAAGCTGTGTACATGTGTACAATATGTGGAAACTCCAGACACCCTGATAGATGATTGAAAATGTTAATCTGGATATCATAGGTGATATCATAGGTCTGTAGAAGATGACTCGCCTCTTTTGGATTCGGTGTATTTTGAAATGTTCTCATCAAAATGTAATTCTACTGTGGAGATACATAAATGTATAATAATCCACATTATAAAATCCATTTGATACAGCTTTTAAAATTCCTTGAATTGCTGAAATAAAATCACTTCGTATCGACTAATCCACATCTTTTTTCTACGCAATACAATTATTATTTATAATATACAGTATCTAATTTTGGTACAATGGCGTAGCCTTAACCAAGATTATGTTCCTGAATAGAATGTGAAGCCAAGCTTAGTCACAGCAAATGAGAACCACATTATTCAAATCCCTATTGTTTCAAGTAACATGAAGCATTTTAATCATGTACAATTAAAACCTGCACAGTTTGTTCCAGAATTATGCAGCAGTAATGTTCCAGCCACACCTAGTTCACAAAGATTGAAAAAAGTGATATAATATCCGCCCCCAAAAATCATTCCTTCGATTTCAATTTTCACATCTTCGCTGTGCTACAGTATGTCACTGTGCATCTTTCACGTTCTGGAGCTCATGAAAAAAGCTTCCTGTTTCTAAGAATGTCCATAGCTCACACATTTATAAATCCAAAATATTTTTGTAAATGTGAAGATTTTTACAAGTGATATGGGGTCTGGTACAAAAGAGGACTTTTTGGACATATAAGTGATATTTTTCTGGCGTTTCTGAGCCATTTATTTGTGGTCAAACAGATTCTTGTACATTCAAGCACAGTTCTATATAAATCCATTAACCTCCTTAGCGGTAACTCTGAGTCCATCTTGAGGTGGTAATCCTGTCCAAAAAGAGGTAATCTGAGCAGTTTGGGCTGCACGTATTCAGAGCCTCTGTCAGCGGTAAACCTGTTTTTTTTTTCAGTTCACATTAGAATAATGTAAAAAATGTACTGCTGCCTAACAGCAAAGCGTCATTCACACCAAACCGCTAAGGAGATTAATGGAAAAGTTGCGACTGCGTGTCGAGTGTCAAGCTAAACTTTCTTCTAGTCAGCAGTTTTCCAGAGGCTGGACCTTTGATTTTTAGAAGCCGCAAATTTTATTATAGACATTTGGGCTATACTGTACATGTGACGTGTGATATGTAAATGTGACAATTTGTTTTGTTCTTCTAAAGAAAGGCTGTAAATATCAAGCAATACAGATCTGGTGTCACTAACTGATTTAGGTACATTGTGGGCAGGCATCAAGACAGAAGGCGGACTGACTCAAACACAGTCTCCTGGACAGACAGGATTTTTGAGCTATGGTTCCAGCTTCACAACGCCTCAGACAGGACAGGCTCCCTACAGCTACCAGATGCAAGGTCAGAATTAATCCTCTCTGCAGCACATGGGAAAACAGAAATACGTTCATGTTACGTTTTGCTCCCAAAGCCACTGTCGGCGACAGCCAAGACCCACCTACCCAACAGTTAGGAATGAGCAAATGCTAATAAATCTGTAGGTATGTGCAGAGATTGGTATTTGTTTTCATTCATCCAGTGATAATGAAATACGACCAGTTTGTTTCATTATATTCTATAGAACACAATATCATTTACTGCATCAAAAAGCAGGCATTATTATAAATCCTGTATCAGTTTTATAAGCATAACTGTATGTTATTTCATTTTTGAACAGGAATGATCCGTCATGGCAGTTTATTTTATGTGTGTAAAGCATCTCATACTTATTAGAGCTGTTTTTTTTTTCAGTTTTGTGGTTATTAATGTACCTCTGGTGTGAGTGTTAATGTACTGGTGCTGCTCATGCAGTTCTCAATGTTTATCCGGTTTGCTGACAATAATGGGTGACGCCCCAAAAGCTTGTTAAATATCTTTCTGAACATCTAGTGGAGCTGCTCTCAGTATTTAATGTGTAGTGAAAAGCAGATGTTCATTAAACTTCATTATCATTGTTCTGTGCTTCATACAAGCTGCTTCAATAGATTTTAATTGCCTCCAGTGTAATACAAATGAGAAACTGGAAATCCCCAGGCTAGAATGGTTTAAGTAATGGTGACACTGTTATGTGTGCATGTGTCTCCAGTGTGCTGCTTTTTGGTGGTATCATTACTCTCAAAGACAGTCGCTGCTTTTAATGCTGTAGTCTGAATTCCTCACATCACAATTAACATGTTAAAACAGATGACCATCAGTGAATTAACCAGACCAGATAATGCATCCATTATGTAGCTTTTCCAGTGTATTGATTTGGCCTCTTCTAAGAGCACCAGAAAGATATGGCACAAGGCAGAGTCACAGAACCACAGCAGGTCTTGCACCACCTGATACTTTCCCAGTTTGAAGCACAGCAATTATTGCCAATCTGTTCCCAGCTGCCAAAAGGAAATACAATTAGATTAATGTTTTTACACTTTACTTACATGCTTGATGATATGGGGCTTTGGTGGGGTGCTATACTAATGTTATAGAAATGTACTTTAGAGCTCGACAGAGCTGTTTTGTTAAGAGTAGCTTGAGTAATGTTTTTCACATGTTAATGCTGTGCAAAAGAATTCAAGAGCTGGGAATTTACAGACTTTTCACCAAGCTTCCATGTACATTGTACTTACCAAGGTATTAATGTCCTGTTTTTTACAAATGCAATGTCAAGATTTTTTTAGTAAGGATAAATAAAATCAGATACTTTAAAGTGTTCATTAACTAAATGAGTATAAGCCACAGTTTGTAGCTTTTAAGAAACAATACAGAAAACAACATGTACTGAACATTGATTTTGAGAGATATTTACTAAAAATAAATTATTTGTTTCATATTAATCAAAACTATTATCATATATTTTCATGACATACACATTTAATTTTTATATATATAAAAGAAGAATTACCAATTTTGTTTTAAGTTATCTGTGCTTTTCTTCACTGTGGATACTTTAAGTTGAAAGCATTTGAAAAAAGTAGTAGTTTAGCTCTTCCAATGAAAATAATTGGGTTTGCTCATGCTTTGCAATGACAGCAAATAAGAGGCCAAGATCTGACTTTTAAAAAGCCCATCTGGACTTCATAGGATACTCCCATAAGAGTTATACTAACTTCTGTCACAAATATTGTGCACTGATGATAGACATAGCCCATGGCAAGGAGACTGATCAAGCAAAGCAAATGGGGTCCCAATTGGAAAGCCATAAGGCAGGCTAGTGTCTTGCCTTCAGTGTACAAACTGAACTAAAAAAAATAAAGACTGCCCCTGGGAACTGCAAACTGCCCACAGCAGGGGTTCATTCTTCAAATGCTGGCAGAGGTTTCTGCCTTTTATGTGGGTCCTTGTTCACTGCTGAGTGGACCTTTGCCCTCCAAGTTATAGCTTTTATCACTTTTTGAACTGCATATTAGGCTAATTTGTTGTACAAAGAGTGTTTATACTTGTACTAAACCTATTGAAGCTTTAGTGCTCTGGAGTAAGAATTCGCAGTTTGGGGAGCAGAACCTTACAAAAACATTTTTTTTTTTGCACAGCACAACTGCGTAAAATAGAATTCCTTAAATAAATGAAAAAATGTAAGCAGATTTTTTGTTCTTATTTATTGAAACTCTTTAGTTACAGCCACCATACACTGGCTAGCCCACACAGCAGCATATTTTAAAACCTGTTTCGAATTTGTTACGGTCTGGGAGACCTCCCTCACTTGAGAGATAACCAAAGGATGGAAAGCCTTTTGCTCTTTTTGGTTCTCTGAACTGAGGTGGAATTGCACTTTCCTTGAAGTTCAGCAAATAAATCTCCTCTGCGTTTTCGCAACAGCTAGTGATAACAGAAGCAGTGTCAAATTATGAAGTAGATTATGTTTCTCTTGAAAAAATATTTCTGGAACTGGTGCAAAATCAAGACAATTCTAAAGAAGTGTGGCATATACTAGGTGGTAATATCTGATTGAGTAAGAGGATCGAATGTGAAAATATGCGTCTAACAAAAATCTGTTGCATTAAAACAGTTTCCTAAGAATAAATTACTCTTTATTGAAGGTATTTGAGAGACTTAATTCATGCTGTGTTCTGCACTTTCACAGATTGGGACTTTATTTTGTTTAAAGTCCTTTATCTTTATGTGTTGTTCATGAATTGTTGGAAAAAGTTTGCCACAACCAACTCCCCTCTCATAATTACGCTCCCATACGGGAGACATCGGTGGCATCACTGACATGTCAAGCGGATTTCCAAATGTGTTTAGTGGGATATATGTCTTCAACTAAGTATAATCAAGAAGTATGAATTACATCACGACTTGACATTGATGTAAAACACGCGCACCCATTAATACACATTAGAAAAACAAGTGGAAAAGGACCAAAATACATTAGAGATGTTCCAAGGAAAACAGAGAACATTCAAACAAGGGGAAAAAAAAAGGTTTCTGGTGTGGGGAGGTGTATTAAACCAGTCAGGCAACTTTTGGCAAATGTAAGCGTACAGCTCTCTCAGATGTTCATTGATGTCAGAACACAGGTGGAGAGTAAGGATTTATTAAAAAAGGCAAGGAGTAATTTCAACTGAGTTCACTGCCCTCCAGGCCCATCCTTCGCAGACATTATAATTCATGCCGTGTATATTATTAAGTCATTAGATGGTATCTCAACCTGATTGATTTAATTACCTGAAGGTGCTTCTTCAAGCCATCCCATTCAATGAAAGGCAGACAGACATGCATGTTCGGCGGGGGCAGTATGTCAGGCAGTGAGAGCAGCCCGTGCCTCCTGTTCCCTTGTGCCTTGCATACAACAGCTGGACTGTTCCTCGCACTGAATGCGGAGCTCTGCCTGACCGCATGGGTCCTGCCCCTCACCCACCCCCCACCCATTGAAAAGAACTGGGCTATGACAGCCGTGATGAGATCGCTGATAGGGAAGATCTAAGGTTCAGGAAGGAAAGGAAAGATAAGAGATATGCGAGGCTCTTCCCTTTATGCCAAGTTACAGCGTCAAAGGGAGCTGGCTTTTGTTTCTCATTTGACTCCCTTTTTTTTCTGATATGTGGACAATTCAGTTCCGTTGCATTGATTTTATATATTATTCTGCATTTGCCAACATTGGTGTTATGTTATGTTATGCCATGTTTTTTTTTCTTTTTCTAACTTCATAAGGAATTAGCCGAATCGGTGTGTGTGTCTCAGTTTCTAATTTTATTCAGTTTGCTAGTGAAAAAAGAAAGCTGTAATAATCAGTTTGTTCAGGTATGTATGTAGTGAATGGCACCTCCAGTCTATGTTTGTACATACACATACATACACTGTGGATCACCCTCTAAGTGGAAAATAACTGTGGTGTATTCTAACACACAGCGTGTGTTGTCTATGTTCACACAGGAAGCAGTTTTACAACAACTTCAGGACTTTATGCAGGAAGCAATTCTCTCACAAATTCAACAGGATTCAATAGCTCACAACAGGTACAGTGTTTTTCCATTTTAGTCTTCGTCCCATGCCTTCAGATATGTTTTTACATTTCTAAATGATGTTTTGATTTACCATGTTTTATTTATAACAAAGGTGTTTCATTTCTGCAACAGCGACGTGAAAAAATACTTCGTGTTTGATTAAAAAAATCCTTAAAATGTAACGTAAACATGGATTATTTAAAATTGTGCAGGACATCTGCTGTCATGCATCGAAAAAAAAGGGAAATTCAAAGTGTCCAGATGCAAAATGTAGGAGACATATGTTTGCATTTATGTTTTGGAATCCGTTCTGTAAAGTAGCAACATTTTAACAGGGTAATCTCATGTTACTTTTCTCCTGTGTTGCAGGAGTATCCTTCTTACCCAGGATTCAACCAAGGTCAATATGCACAATATTACAACAGCTCACCGTACACTTCCCCATATATGACAAGTAACAACACCAGCCCCACAACCCCCTCCACCACTGCCACATACCAGCTGCAAGAGCCCCCCACCGGCATCACGAGCCAAGCGGTGACAGACCCCGCTTCAGGTAAGCAGCTCTCTTGCTCTGGTTGTTCGCGGGGGACGTCCCGGGTCTGCTGTAACTTTACTGGAAAACATGTCGATCCTCGGCGAATTACACGGCCCCATCAGGTGTCCTTTTACCGGAGAGGACCCTCATTCCCCCTGATGTCAGGCGAAGGAGAGGAAAAGGGTGGAAAGGGGGGTGACTGATTTGGAAATGATCTTAGCGTAGAGGTCCCGTGTTGTTTTAGCTGAAAAGTGGAGAAAATGTGTTCTGGGTACAGAGAGCATGTGTGTAAGATTAGCAGCTTGTCACTTGACGCAGTGCTTGACTGCAACTCGGACATACTGGCCAGCAGCCATATCACCCTGTAACTCACCACTGGCAGCCCACTGGAGCTCAGCAGGTGTGAGCCTGGTCAGTACCTGGACGGGAGACCTCCTGGGAAAAAACTAAGGCTGCTGCTGGAAGAGGTGTTAGTGGGGCCAGCAGGGGGCGCTCACCTCGTGGTCCACGTTGGTCCAAATGCCCCAGTATAGTGACGGGGACACTATACTGTAAACAGGCACTGTCGTTCGGATGAGACATAAAACCGAGGTCCTGACTCTCTGTGGTCATTAAAAATCCCAGGGTGTTTCTCGAAAAGAGTAGGGGTGTCACCCCGGCATCCTGGCCAGGTTTCCCATTGGCTCTTACCAATCATGGCCTCCTAATAATCCCCATCTACGAACTGGCTTCATTACTCTGCTCT